ACAACATCCGTAGGCGATGTTAGTCTGTGCAGAAAACCGGTGGTAGCCAGGGCCAGCGGCGAGCGCGCCCGCGCGTCTGCAAACGAGGCTGGGTGGGCGCTAGTGACTAAGCGCGTCTCATGTGAGCGAGCCAGTCAGTGTCGACTTGGTGAGCTGATTGGATGGCTGCGTGCGGCCGAGCGGCCTCGGGGATAGCTTGCAGGCGCCGCGCGCACGGCAGGGTAATTGCATGACTCCTGGCGTGACTCGCACGCCGGGGACGGAATACTTACGTGTGCATGAAACGCCCGCAAAGTAGCCCCTCAGCCGAGTTGCATTTTACTAGCGCCTTTTACTGTTTTGCATTGTTTGGAGGTAGCTTCACTCGAGGGTTTTGATACTTTCATTCTCTCACCCTTAGCTTCATCCGTTCACATTGACGGTGTCGACTGGTCATTACAGTGTCACCTTTTATGGTGTGCATTTTGCCTAAAAATTATTATAAAATGCGCTTCTCTTAAGGGTGTTTGAAGGAGAGAAAAGTTCTCTTATTCAGTTGCCGGCTGTGATTTATAACAATGCCTTCGTCTGCTTCTTTTAATACGCGAGATTTAAATTTAGCGAAAATGACCAAATTGGCCTCAAATGTTAGGTGCGAAAGAAATCGATCTTACGTTGAATCAGGGTTTTTCGAAATAGTAACAGAGGCGGGAAACGTTCTTCACTATCGGCTTATGTGGGAGAGTTCTTGATCCTAAACGGTCTCTCTGGTGGTTCAAGTTTTTGGTTTAGCAAATGACATTGTGTTTGCCAGAATCTTTTACTTGACTGTGGCGCAGAAACCGAGCTAACTTCTCGAAAACTTATTAGCTCTCTAACTTTCCAAAGCATTCACCTCTCCACCAGCAGCACATCTGCCACGTAGCATTGCCAAACTTCGCATAATTGGCCATTCCCCACGAATGATATCGGAATACAGCAGTCATGGGAGCCAGTTTTTAAATCTTTGTCTAGGTGCTCAGATGGACAGCATAAAAGTAGAACGTGGGCTTAAACCAGGTTTCTGCCACTGTGCCCCCCTTGAAAAGGTATGTCATTACTGCACTTGTCTAAAGCTTTCTTCTGGCCGGGATACGTCTCGCAGAAATGCCTACGCTGCCAGAGCATGACGCATTCCGGCTGCTTGTACTTTTCACCGTATCCATTTCCTAGTTGTCGGGTGGTGATCCACACCGCCTGATTCCCGCGTTGGAGGCGTAGTATGAGCTGATGTAAAGTGAAAATCCTATCTCACGCACGCTACGCTGCGTCCTCTGCCTAGGCTATCCGTACAGTACTGTTATCTACCCGCTTTGTGTTAACGGAGGTTTTTTCTGGTTTAGAACGTTCGACGTAGTGTAGAGCCCAAAATCAAAACCTATTGGTTCATCCTCAGTTTCCACGTTTCGAATTATTCTTAATGATTGACATAATTTAAAGCGTCAGATTTGGGTCCTAGTTTCTAACCTTCTCCTGGCTCAAAAATACCATTTAACTAGCCCATCTCATTGGTTCGGTAGTCAGTATCATCATACAACTACGGCTCTTCTTTGCAGGTACTATAAAAAGCTTTAGACCCGAGGACTGTTTGACTCCAAGCAACGATCCAATAAGCCAGCTCACGACGAACCGGGTGGATTACACGCCACACGAACTCCAACCTCCATCTCGTCATCATCCAGACCCCTATAAGAAACCGGAAGGAGAGATGGAACAGAGAAGCACCTATGCCAATGACTTCCCCGTGGTATGCTGAAAACCTTTGTATGAATATACGCCTTGAAGTCCTGATGCCTCGTGAAAGCTGGCAGTCTTCACAGGTGTCCTCAAACACCCCTGTACGCGCACACCACATGACCTCATCCCTTGCACAATGAACCAGATTTTGACACAACCTCAGAGGCGAATCAAGTCGCAGCTGATTGGGAGTGCCATAGAGGCACAGCATTACGGAGGAGTCTTGACACCCTGAGTCTGTGTCTTGAAAGGACCAAGTTATCCTTTCAGTCAGCGGTCTTCCAAGCCACGCCTTTTAGCACGTTGTGATAGGTTCAAAGCACGTTATACTGTTTACACTAAGGAATACGCTGAAGTGCTGTGGGAATAAATTCAGCAGGGCACACCCCATTCTCTCTTTCCCCTCTCATGCATCAGTCCGCTATCTAAGTCAGTCAGCCAGCTGGTGCCACGATTGTCTAGACGTGGCTGCCAGGGGTCGGTGGCCTGTCTACGCGGGCCACGCACGAGCCGTTATCCGCACAACATACCACCAATCACAGAGAACTAGTAGAGCCAGTTATAAAGTTCCAGCTTTCTTGGTCTTCTGCTAGCTTACTGTTTTGCAACTAAATATTCGTTTGCTTCGCATTCGTTTTGTGTGTCTAAAAGAGTGGTGTTCTTTTAAGAAGTTGTGTTAAACTGTTGATGTGAATGGTCAGTCCTTAAAGGAACTATGAACACCACGCAAATAAGATGCGCGTCACTAAAATTAACTGAACATAATTCCATAAATTGATTATTTGTTCTACACTAGCTTCTTGGTTTACTACCCCTTGCATTCATTGATGCAATAAATAATCCTTGTAAGAAGACAAGAGTACTAATTCATCGTTTCAAAATATTAGTGTATTCTTGCTATGTAGCATGCAGATCATTTTGGAAACTGTTAAACTATTGTCCTTCAGTTTTAATTATTGTTATTTCATAAGCCACCACTTAAAACATTACACTGCTTCCGGCGTCGCAACTCATGAAATCCATTCTTATCTCTCTAGTTTGTCTACAACTGACAGCGTCCACTGTTGCTTCTGTTGCTCTGCTAAATTAAGATGGTCATCGGCATAATACGCATCCTGGACAGTGACCGTGTATACTATTTTTGTCACACTGCGGGCGCGGTACCATTTTCAGCTATCTGTACTTTTGAAAAAGTTAAATGGTTTTATACGAGTTAGGAAATAACGTTGAAGCAGGAGTCTGAAGGATAAAACGCAAATTAAGTGTCCTTGTATAAGTTCAAAAAGCTGTAACATAAACCAACCAATCAGAAATTCCTAATCTGCGCATTTTAAGAGCGTCAGAGTCTGACAAGAGTCCTTCAGCGAATTTCTAATCACTACAGCCTATTTAGACAATCAAAACGCAAACCCTTCCGCCAATTTATTCATAAAAACCGAGTGCAGACTGTCAAATGGGATCTGTCCATCGGCTTATTTGAAGGAAAAAAGCCAAAATGAACCTAGAATTTTCCAACACACACTCGTTTCCACAATGAACCTTACTCTCGGTCATCAGGGCCGCGCAAAGACCCCGAGGAACCTCTTTGCTACTGAATTCGACGCTAATGTAGATTTCTACTGATCTCCTTTGTGGTTTTATTTTTAGCAACCAATATGCAAGGTTGGACCCGTGCAATTGAAAGAATTCCCGAAATGTGAGGCGCCTTTCAACGGAGAATCGAACTATCGGAGTGACTTCAGGCCATGGAATGTGAAGCCTTGCATAGTGAAGCCCATTAACAAGTTTATGCCGCCCGATGTCCCCATGGACGGCCTCACAACCAATCGGGTAGGGATGTCCTTGAAACAATGGAAGGGCATACATTGGCCTAAACAAGCTTAAGTCCAGAATTGTAGGGCTTGATTGGCTCGTTAAATATTATACTTCCATCTTTAAGATCACATTTGCCCTTACTGAACTGCAGTAAGACCGGAAGCCTCTGAAATTACCACTTAACTGACTGAAACGAAATCTATTTTGGCAAACAAGTTCGCTGAATGCAATTATCTGACCAAAAAGGTTTTGACCTGTATAAAATCCTTTCGTGGTTTGTCTAATCCAAGCTCTATCTCTAAAGTCTGAACGACTCAGATCGAAATGTAAAATTTACGAAGACAGATACGCACCTATTGCTGACATAATGGCAATTCTCAAACACAAATTTGTAGTAAAAAGGAAATCATCTGTAACGCTGTATTCACTGCGTATCGGATCTCATCGGAACGCTTATAGATAAAACACAGGTTAATTTCAGACTTATTTAGATTTTCGCAGTTTTAGGTTTTAGTTGGTTAAGACTGAGTCCATTAATTTAAACATTTTTGTACAATTTAAAAAAAAGGCATCCTTAGGATCCTACGCTTTTTTGGCCCAAACATATGCACGCCTCAGTTGCAGTTTCTGGGCCAGTTGCTCTTGCAGGCCGTTTTGCATCGCCGGTTCAGTTGATGTGGCTCATTTGAAGCAAAGGAAATCAGTAATGGATTTCCCATACTCACAAAACTGGCACTGGCAAAAAATCCGAACACGAGCTTCGTCTCTTTTATGCTGCCGCACCACGTAGCTGCAGACTTTTTGATGCATAAATACTCCAGATGCTAAATGTTTAGTCTTTTAATATCCGCTGAAATTAGTGTGCAGACTTGGAGTGAAGTCTTCGAGGAAGGCCTTTTGGGATTCGGTTCGAAAACTGATGTGAATATTTGGGTTGGGGTGGGAGGAGGGGATCGACCATAGCGAGCTGTCATAACCAGGGTTTTTGTGATGATTCCACGGTACAGTTTGGAGTCCTAGCCACTAGCTACATGCGAGAGTGTTCTTACATGAATCACTGTGGTTAGCTTGACGCTCTGTTGTTTCCGCATGTCTCTGCCAGTGCATATAGGAACCCACTTTGACGACTTGTAATGCCGTCTACCTCCTTCCAGTATGCGAAGGCCCTTTCTCATATGCACCAAAAGGCGTTCCTCGAAGTATATTTCCCCATCGGTCAGCCTATACGGCCTTGTCTCTTGCCCTGGGGATTAACACCTACTGGTTGTCTATTCTAGCGATATGGAATCAAAATATGTTGGATCATTGCCGGATTTTGGTCCGACAGTGAATTCTATTTTCCCTGAGAATAATGTTTTAAATAGGATATGAAATTGTCTCAGTTATTCTCGGATAAAGCCACCTAGAAAGGGGGTAAGGTTCGTGCCGTCGCCTGCAATACTTAGAGGCTCAAGGCCACTTAAGATTCGCAGGTCGATTAAATTTTAGAACTATTCAGAGACGCTTTTTCGAGCACGAAGACGCTTGATGGATTCTGTGGTGCACATGTTTTACGGATGAAACAAATAGACAATGAATTATTGCGCTTTGAGTTCTGCTATTTACCCGCATCTGAACGGCAAAGCGCATTCTAGATCCATTCCGGAGACATCAGGTAATAGGCTATTAATTCATTCAAAATTCGTATACTAGTGGCAGCCTGTTGACAGCTTCCACCTATTACGCGCTTATTCCGCTAGATATGATGAAACCCAGCCCGAACGTTCATATTGACCTTTGTACCTACCCTGAATAGTTTGATCCTGAAAAAAACTCAAATTTATTACGCTACTTTATGAGCTTCGCGCAAACTATCCTTTACCCAGTGTTCAATTTTCCTCCTCATGTTCTCTAGCAGACTTTCCTATGATATGCGACTGCGTGGATTCGTGAGTACTTACATCGATCTGGGCCTTCAAAGTCATATGGTTGGGCATCGTCGGCAACGTTGTTGGATTAGTAACAGGTTAACGGCCTTTGCAATGTTACTGCTCGTCAACGACGCCCCTACCTGGTTGCGGACGGGGTCACCACACTTAGAAGTGAGAGGACAACGGCCAAATAGGCGATAGGTTCATATGCCGACTGTGGAGTTGTATTTACAGATGCAGGCTTCAAGCAGCTCCCAACCTGTCGTGTTGTCCGCCCGCATCATTTTTTGCGCGCACCGTGTTGAACTCGTGAAGCCCGCCTCCAATGCCTGGGCGGCGACTTGTGAGAGCTAGTCATCCCTCTCACCAGCACCATAACTTTTGACTTCCTGTCATCTAATCTGCATACTCGTAGGCGTAATTGCGCTATGGAATTTGGCAAAAGAAAGCCGATTGCTCACTTGCACGCCACTGGTTGTCAACTTGCGTGAATCCACTAGCCAACTAAGGCTTGTTTTTTTAAGCAGTTACAAACCCAGCTCAGAAGCAATATACTATTCACGATGAACAAACGCTTAGTTCCTCAGCGGCGTAGGTAACTAGCACTATGGGAGCCACAACGCCCGAATGCTGGTCGGAAAATCGCCTAGCTACCTGCAGTTCAAAATATCATTACCTAAGGGGTGTTTAGATGATCGGGGCTCTCCCGTTAATTTTATGCTGTTTACTGTTGGATCTAAGCGAAACAAACAGGCTACTGCTTGCTGGCTGGAGTACAGTCTTGTTCCGTAAGCAAAAGAACCGAAATCTATCGCGAACGAATTTTTATCCGAACGATTCTGCGGGTTTTCTTCTTTTTGACAAACTTCACTCCTTTTCACTCTTTTGTCCTTTCCACAAAAGATCGAGTCGCCACTTTCTCCTGCAGTTAGCCTTGCTTGTCCTAAATGACCGCCAATTTTGATCCGGGTCAGGCAGTTAGCTTTGTCTCTTGTTTACTAGTCCAATTCTTTTACAGGCAGAATATGTTCCTCGTGCCCTCTGTAAAGTTCCGTCCTTCAAGCCGCCGCCCATGATCATGGACAACGGACCATTTGATGGCATAACCAACTATCGCGTTGATTACACTGACAAGGGACGTCGATGTCACTGCCCAGCTGCCTTTCTACAGAAGGACAAGATCAGTCCGGACGGATACATCTTCAAGGTACAGACTTGGACTGAATTATCCCATTATGCTATTACCCCTGGCAGGTCAGTAGCATTTACTGAAAATGTCAAACGGTGGCGGAGGATAGTTCGAAGGGTTCGGTCAACTTTGCTCACGCCGGACATGGACATTTCCTGCGTTGAAAAGCATATGGCGGTCGGAATGCAATCAACACTGCAGAGAAACAGAGGCCCATTTGGCTATCCAGTAGGTAGGATGAGGAGAGTTCGTTTAGATGATTACTGGTTGGGCACGGGGCTCATTTCTGGACAAAGAATATGAACAGGGCCGTGTTTATAAAGTCATGGAAAGGAGCAGCGGGATTCAACTTCAGGAATCAGAAAGCACGTTTATTGCCTGATAAAGGGATGAACAGACTAGTTAGCCTACCTTAAAGTGGCCGAATTATTGATCGGTCAAATTTCTTTGTACGAGAAGTCCAAGCGACCAAGGCAAAGACACTAAAATGGCCGCTTCTGACTCATTATCCGCTATCGGCCAATGATACCTCGGGTGCAGGTGCTGCCCAAACCGAGATTGCATCCGCAGTTAGTTGACAGTAGGACATGGGAATAGTAACCCCCCTCGTAATACAGGTGGCCTTGCGTTAAGTTTCAAAAAAATTCAAAATTAGGGCAATGGGTTAGGGTTGAGTTGGGGTTTCGTTTACGACATAAAAATAGGCGTCCTTTCCGGAATTAAGCGCAGGGCCACCTGTATTACGCGGGGTTCCTACTAGCGTGTCTTGTCTAGTTGATACTCAAGCAAGGTTTTCATCACTGCCTCACGGCTGCATGTCATGTCGGTGGAGATCTGGATTATTCAGTCATATGGGAATGGTCTGCACCAAATTATTCTGATCGCAGAAGGGTATCCCTATGATACTGGTTTAACCGGAGCTTGGGTTCTACAGCCCACACCAGCGGTCGCATGACAAGATGGGATCGCGCTCATTTCGTCCTGCGCTGAGAACAGATCGATGTACACCACTGCCACCTAATAAATCCAGACTTTCATTGGCGACGGTATAGAGAAGGGCCCTACTTAACAGTCAATAGACTGTGGATCGTGTCATGTGGGGTTTTATCTTGGCATACATTTGCAGGCTGTTGCAGAACATAGATTGCCAACAACAAGTACTTCCCACGATCTCACACCCTAACTCAAAATCCGTTATTTTGCGAAATTTAATTTTGTCTATTGTTTAATTACTACTCTGACTTCCATTGTCGTACAATAGCGTAGGATAAGACTTTTGGCATAAATTCAAGCAATTTTTGTGTTTTCTTTCATTTTGTCTAGCGTACTGTCCCACCCATAAAACTCCCTTTACCTTAAATCACGTATGGCACTATCCACAGTCTACTGACAGTTATGTGGGCTCCTCCTCTATACCGTTACCCTTTCATTCACTTTCAACGTGGCAGATTTGCGCTTCTGAGATTAAGAAGATAAATAGGAAACACTGAAGGAGTTGTTGAGTTTTTTGTACTGTTTTGTTTTCGGTGGTCTCAAATTTGTTTGATTCTGTTTTATTTAAAACTGTGTACCTAAAAGGGCTTTGTTATTGGTAGTAGATTGCCCTCCGAAGGCTCGGGTTGGACCGTACTGGTGGATTTCAAACGACATTGACTGTTATATGACCTTAGTAGCTGATTGGTTGGCCGTCTGAGCTGGTCAGTCAGCTGTTGTGGGGAATGGGTTCAAGTGGCTGACGGAGTCAAACAGCCCGCCACACACAGCCTAACCCACCAACACGACGTGCCAGATTGCCACACAAAGGGGCTGGGCTACTCGGATCTCAAATGCCCTAGAGTGCCATAGAGGCTACATGAAGGGAGGATCATTGAGCCTGTCTCATAGTCCGCTAGTCGGCCACTCCACACAAAAACACACACACACACAGGGGCCGACTGCGAAGTCTGATTTGTACCGGCCGTTGGCAGCCTTCCAAGTCACGACGTTCAACGTGTCACTATAGATTCAGGCGTGTTGGACTTATAACGGGGAGGAGTGCGTTGAGGAGTGCCGTGGTGATGGAGTCCAAAGAGTCGACCTCACTCTCCCGTCTCTCGTACATCAGCCGATTGTCCGAGCCGGTTAGCCAACTGACGCCGACATTGGGCAGTTCAAAACATGCCCGGTAAGACGCAGGAATAAGCACCCCGATATGACAGGTGATTTTGCGCTATCTTCCTGAGGGTTTACCTATTTTTATGTCCTAATTTTAGCCCTTACTCCAACCCTACCCCTAAAACTAACATCCCTGACCCGAAAGCGACCCTCTAAAACCTAACCCTAACCCCACTGGAATCTAGCGCAAATTATCACCTGTAATACAGAGGCACCTATTCTCTCGTCGTACCATGTACCCTTCCTTATGCGATATGTCAACAAGGACCATCAGAGGGTGTACGCGGATCAGGAAATCATGGTGTAACATTGTAAAGGATGCCAGTATGACTCCCAGTATTTCTGCCAGAAATTTGCAGAGTCTAACTCTTCGAGGATAGCCACCGGAATCTAATCAAACCAAACCATGCGGGTAAGGATCGATTAGATGTCTTGACAATTTCCTCGCCCATTTACCTGCTTGCATTTATCTTCCGCCATATCAAGGTCGAACGGCGTGGGTAGTCGACCGACACGTTTACTAGTGATCAACGTTAAAATACGGACACAATAAAGTTGTTATAAGGGGAATGGCTACTAGAAGTGTCTCACGAATCTGAGCACTAGAACTGGTCTGGACACAATTAAACTTAGCGTAAGTTATTTTACGAATTGAAAGTAGCTGCTCTTCAGCATTCCAGAGTTTGTTGCTAAAAATGAACTTCCTGAGGGCGTTCCAATTTTTGATAGTTTCTTCTAAATAAAAGGAAGAAACCGAAGCTATTCAAAAAATTGCACAGGCAATCAACCGCGCAACTTAACCAGGATGTTTCGTGCGATTCGTTGCCCAGCCAAAGGAAAAAAGGATCGGGCTCTCTGACGCACGCAAACTCGACGCCTGAAATCCGCATATTGCGGTTTTCTCAATTGCTCGATTCTATCCATATTCGGAATGATGAAATTAGGCATACTTTAACTGGCAAAGCTTCGGTTATTGAAGCCGGACAGTTTAAGGGTGACAGTAAATTGGAGTGCGTTAGCATTCCCATCGCCAGTTTCAAAGTTGATAAAGCGTATAAAAGGAGCAACATAGTGAAAAGGGTGGAAACAGCATCTGCCATTTAAATTTTGTGTGGGAAAGGACGAATCCTACTTAACCTTCATAACAGAAGAGAGACTCTAAAGTCCTGTACGTGTGAAAACGCTTTCAGTGTCTTCTTTATTGATTAACTACTGGTTTAACCCTTCGTTCGGCGCGAGTTAAGACGAGGAGTCCTCAAGCAAAGCATTTTTCGAACCTAACAGTACATACCCGCCAAACCATATTCTCAGTGCCCATTGAGACAGTGAGGTATTCCGTATTTCCTATGCGATGGATTTCATATAACCATCAGATTGCGTTCATTATCACAATGGTCCCACTACTGCGGGCTCGAATTAAGTAAACCACCCTTGGTGATACATAACGCAGTGATCATGTTTTCTACTGACTGTTTGATAAGTAGGTATGCAAGTGGGAGTGCCAAGATCTACCTAAGAGTTAGACCTAGTACAGCCTACTGCACCAACACCCTGAAAGTTAACGCTTACTAGTATGTACAATTACGTCACAAGCGCATTTTGTCCATTATTTTGTTCTGTGTTTGTTTCTGTAATTACCCGTGTTTAGGCGACCTCGTGGCCCTAAAATGGCCCAACGCGCGTGGAGCATTAAAGCATCCTAATAACCATTTTTAATTTTGCCATTTGGGGAATTGTGCAGGAACCAGGTCGCGTATGTCCAGCGTAAACGAGCTGCGGCGCCCAATTCCAGCACCGGATAACTGACTGACACTCGCACAGTGAACCGGTGTCTGGGGGAGGAAAGAGAGCGTGAGGTCGACTCTGGGGACTCCATTCCCACAGCGCCTCAGTCCACTCCTCACCAATAATGTGCCGCGCCCTAAAGCTGCCACGATGGCTGCGAAGGCTGCCAAGTGAGGGATAAACCGATCCGCATGTTCAGTACTGTGTGTGCGTGTGTCTATATGCGTGACTGGCTCGAAGGCAGAGAGTCGAGCGCAGTGACTTTGTCTTAATCTAGCCTCCATGGCAATCTCATGCGCATTAGATTCGAGGCGCTCTCTTGTTTTCTGTGAAGACCTGGTTCATTGTGCGCGGACCAGGGGCACTAGTAGAGGGGCTGTTTAGCTCTGTCATCCACTGCCTCCAGTCGTTCTGACTCTGTCTTGCCACCGGGCCCAGGTAGGTGAGGGGTGAAGAGAGCGTGGCGGACGCTGTGCAAGTCTCCCAGCACTAACTCGCGCGCAGGTCCCTGGCCCTCGCCCGCCCTGCCGCGGGGCACACGGTGGACATTGTCGAAATCGACGCTCGAATTGACATTTGTACTGCAACGGTTGCAAACTGATAGACCGTATGAAAATGAGGGAATTGCTTATAATTATATCGACAGTTCAATACAAATTAGTTACCATGCGTAGGTCTTCGAGAATCCTTCTTTATCGCCGATTCAGATCTCGCCTCACTGTATAACTGAATTCACCAGAGGAGAAATTGTCGAAGAGTATGAATGATTATGTATGATTGTATGATTACTACTTTGTCTATTTGGGAAAGTGAGTATAAAATAAGGATTATTGATTGGGTTAATCAAGCAGATATAGAGGGAAATACGTATATACCACTTAGATGGTTACCACTGCTGTGGTTTAGGCAGATGACTGAGCATTCGGCCACATACGGATTAACTATTTACCGTACCTGACAACTCCCTCAGCTAAGTTTTTCGAGGTGAGCTCGCCTGATCGAGAATGTTTAGTCAACGCACTGTTTGAAAGTAACCAAGAATGCTAAACCGAAGAAGTACTCCTGTTGGGATAGGACAACATTTATGCACGATAATCAGGCTACGGGAGTCAAACATCAACCAAATTGCTTGTGAGGTTTCCCACAGACTTCTTGAATGGTGTCATTGGTAAAAATGTTTACAAAGAATCTTTTTCAATCCTTATTTACGTATAGAGTAAACAACTTTTAGACACATTGATAAACTGGCGCAACTAATCTTTTGCCAATTAGGTTAAAGAATAGAAAATTTCTGGTCGGGTGTGGTTATGTAGCTCCACCTGAAGTAAACAAACCCCAGCCACCTCTAATACAGGACCAGTGGTAATAGGCATTTTTACAGGCGGGGCCGAGGAACGCACAGGCGACAAGGTCAAGTAGTTGTATGCGGAAGAAAAGCTATTGGGAATGCGCGGTGGTACTTTGAATGGTTGGGAAATAGCTGCGCCAACCCCTAACCCCTAGTCATAACCCCTTAATCCTACAGCCTAACCCTAACACTTAACCCCAACCCCAACAGTATTGTGTCCATCAGGTGGGGCTAAGAAACCATAGCTTACCAAATTTTTTTATGTCTGTACATGCTGTGTGATTGGGAAGTGTGTCCCACCTCGTGTATAGAATCTGTAGCTTGGAAGGTCAAACATGCTAGTCATTATTTTGTTATTTTTGCCGTTTTTCCCTAGATGGAAGATGATCTCGGCCACCAACATTATAAACAGGAGGTGAACAAGGCCCTGGCGTAGACAAAGTAATGGCAATATGTGTGCGAGTACGTGTGGATGAGGCCACCGGACAAAAGGTGCACTTGGATATCGCTCGTCAGCCAACACTGGCACTGCATGTCAAAGTGCATTTGTGTACATCGCCTACTAACGAGAGTGTTAGTGTATTCACTGTCTACTTACTGTACACTGGATAAAAATCCTCATATCTAGCCCTATGCCTGTGTCATCTTTTAACACAACTATTTCTGTCATCCCCTGTCCGTTAAGACTAGCGAAAAGATGAGTTTGTACTGTACGAATAGAGCTCACAATATCAACTTCTTCTGTGCGCATGGTTACAGGCTTCAGTGTAAGTGGCCTCTCTGCCGCGGAACGTTCGAAAATGCGCTTGGCAATAAAAGCGAGGAGGCGAGTTCGAGGCGGCAGTCGGAAAGAAGGCGGCAGGTTCACTTGGGATTTACACTCGGATTCATCAGCAGAGACCAAAATCAGATAAGGGTCACACAGGTGTCGCAGGAGCCGAAAATTTTTGATGGGCACCTCGTGCGATAACAACTGCGTCCAATAAATACTCCGACACCTGCACAACATTGTACCCTCACCCGATTTCATTTATGACGCTGGATTCGTGGGTGGGGTGCGGGGAATAAGTACCCTTCCCTATGTAACAGGTGACCTAGCACTAAATTCGAGAGCTAGGGTTAAAATCTGGGCACGAAATTAGGCAACCCCTGGGAATTCTGTGCAAAAGTACTTGTAATACAGGGAAGGGATACAGGGGGTACTTACGCATTCATTTGATTCCAGTGTGACTCCAAAAACGTCAGGTAAAATAATGCTTTACGTACAGTAGATGTGCTAACTCATGAAATGTCAACCAAAATTTCGAAATGCGTTCTCGTTTCGAAAAGATAAATTAAGTAGTGTTGTAAAACTAATCATGATGCAGCATAAATCTATAATGATCCAGTTACCTCAGGGTGTCGGCTTTCGAAGGAACTTGTTTTCGGATGCATGCAAGATCTATACTCTGCAAAAAATGACTACTTATGTGGTATTCAATTTTCTCATTGATTTTCGATGCCCTTGAAAATTCAATTATATTTCATGGAAAACATGCATACAAATATTCATTCTTTTACTTATTCGGTAGAAAATCACGTAGCCTGATATGGACACCTTTAACGTCATTAACGCTAGTGAAGGGGAGAAGCCGCTCATCGTATCACCCCCCTCGCGACCGATTGCAAGTCAAATAGGATGGGAAGGTAGATTTTTGAACAACCATCCAAGGGGGGTTACATACCCTACCCTCACTGATAAAACCTTTGTCCCATCGGTCATGCCCCTCTTTTCCGAATGCTTGGCAGTATTGCTCCTGAGAGGGAAAATTTTGTCCGCCGAATTTTTCGGAGTCATGCTCGACCTCTTCAGATACTGGCCCTTCGCGTAACACCCCCATCCGCCTCATCAGTACTGGCATTAGTCTACCGGTGCTTTCTCAGATATTATTTCAGTGAAGCTCTGGTAGGCAATATGAGAACACCCTAACACCATGACTGAAACAGTCGGAGAGTGCTGTTGACAAAGTCCGGGAGCCTGAAATGGCCATCTGTCGACAACATTCCTCCATTTATGATTATTTTTTAGTTTTTGACCACCTGTTAGGATCCTCCAAAGTAAAACGGGATTGCCCTCGACCCGTCCAGCGACTAGGACACACCAATGAGCGCCATAAACGTATGCGTAAAAGTTCAACCTTAGGGTGTCACTAGGGCAACTAACTGATTTCAGTTAGCAGTGCCTTCATAAGAGTAAACCTGAGTGTACAGTGAACTCGATCTAAAAAATATCTTTGCGACATTTCAAACTTTGACCGCACGTTATGAAGTCTGATAAAACGTCCGGTAATTTCTAGACAACTTCCCTCAATGATAGCATTTGCAAAGGCTTATTTTATACTTCACGGTCTTCAGCTCACCTGAGTCATATGCTAGGGGGTCTAGCCCCTTAGTGAGCAGTTAACTTTTCTTTACCGCTGCATTCTTGCAAATAGACAACCAACCATTTTTGTGGACTTAAGAGATTTTTAGCGTTATTTCCTACTCTTGTATTCAAAGCATTAAAGGGAAAGGGAATGATGACCCTGTTAAAAGGTCGACAGTTGAGAAAAGTAGTTTGTGCGCCTGGCCTTTCGGCCCTCCTTTCACGGCCATTCTCAGATTTACTATGGGGTAGATGAAACAGGTTAAATGTTGAACTAGTTGACTAGTTCTGCCTTGTGTCTCTAGGGGCAGCTTGCTTACGTAGCGCTTGGTATGCGGGTGGGAGTCCGGCGCACCTAATTAGCAATCCTCGGCCTGGTTTCTGTGTCCCAGTCAACTCGCGCACGATCCCGCTGGCGACTTGTCCGACCCGACGCAGCCGCAAAACGGGAGGTGAGACTTTACTTCGGACGAGGAACAGTCGTGGACGACATTAACTCCTTCCGATGGACTGCCCTTCCTTAGTACCGCAACCTAGTCTCCAGTTTTGTCCATTTTAATCATGCATTTGCAGAGGCAGCTAACCCAGCGAATGCGGTACATATGCAAGAACTAGTTGCCTATATCTGAGGGTAATAGGCAGCACCTTTTGACTGACCATTACGGCGACTGGTCGGTGAACAAAGCCGAAGTGGGGCTATTCGTTGGCTCATGTACCATGAGCACAACAAAAGCCTCCTAACAGACGAAATGTTTATGCTGATCACCTGTTCAGGTGGGTGTGGCCTCAAAAGTGGCCGAGAAGCCTCTAAGTTTAGGGCCTACGGTTTTGAGGCATGTTACGTGGCCAAGAGACCAGCTTCTGTCCACTGTACTGTCTCGATAATAATTTCATACTGAGCCTGAGTAGTCGTCCCGAATTGGTCAGTGTTGCAATTATGTCTTCAGTTGTCGCTCGCTATTTGTGCTTCTGACATTTACAGTATTAACCAGAAAACTGTTCAAATGATCACAGAACAGTTTGCTAGATTTTGACCGGCGTTGCACACTGACTGTCTTGTATTTAATCAAATTAAAATGCTGCCACCAGACTTCTCTGACATTCTCCACCGCGTCTCTTCCGAGATCTGTGCTGACTGGTGATCCGCTATGCATACGTACTTTGGAGCGATTGCTACACGAATACACTGATTTAGTGGACGTTGAGTTGGACGGGCAGCTGGCAGAATTGCGCGCGGCAATCGATGCTTGGAACCCGCGTCGAGCGTTGTCCAACGGATACATCGAACTCGCATCCGCAAACCGAATGCTAAGTAGTCAAGCCGAAAGCCAAAACAGACCACATAGATAAGCAGAACTGCTCAAAACGACATAAAGCAGAGTTTGTTAGTTATTTTAACATTTAAACTGCGTTATCGACTTAATATTTCGGAAGATGAGAGTGATAAACAACTGGGCAGCGTAGGTGGGTGAACTCCTGTTCACAGCCATTGACCCGCCAACTTTAATAGACGGGAGTCCTCTGGTGCAAATTCACCCAAAAATTCATGAGAATGGCAACTTTTGATCCAGATGCCTTAAGTTAGAAGTTAATCGCTCAGACGACTAGAAGTTGAAGATCGGAGCAGTTTCGGAAAGGAAAGTTACGGCAAAGTCCCGCACTTCGCCTGCCTAACAACAGTTATCACTGCGAAAGCCTATCAGACCAGCGCTTCGCATGAGGTGCCGAAAGCGGTATGCCAGGTCGGAGCCTGAAATGAGTGGAATGAGCCGTCAAAGTGCTCCGGCTCCTTAGGGAGCTGAAGGTACGCGCTGAGGGACTGCACGAACTGATTCCACTCTAAAGGCCCCAGTGAGTCGGCAAAACGACCCTCGTGTACATTTCTCCACACACTGCAGCCCTTTTAACAGCATACCGACTGGGTTACATCCCACCTGTCCCAACGACTTAAACCCAAGTTCCTTCATTAATTTCAAGCGAAACTATGATGCCCATTCACTGGGCCCTCGTCAACCAAGCATGTGCAAACCTATGACGAGAAGACTTGTTATCGGTTGCCGGAGTTCCTTTGGTTGTAAATCGAAAGCTCTGGCACTGAACTGATCCTCCATACCATGTGGCGCATTCACAGTCGATCCGTAACAGCACCTGCCATGTGGCCTTTATTTCAGGATATAAAGTTATCTTCCTGTCTGACCTTCCACTTACAGGAAACAGTTCCTACAGGCGGCCTCCTAGAGATGTGCGAGCCCTTATCGTGATGTTTGCAGACACGTCCCAGAGGACTGCAATCAAGGTTTCTGGTTTATTCTTAAGCCAACAGCTTATCCCTAACTATCGGAAGGGTATGTCTGGGAGCTAAGTTCTTACACAGTAGGTTAAATAGGAAATCCTCTCGGCCTGTGCCTGACCGACGACGTAATTTTTAATTAATCCCTCCATTTAACCAAATATACGAACGTCCGTATAACTGCACAGTCTGGACTGCTCTAAAAGACCAACTCTGAGGGTCCAGCCTAGAACTCCAAAACGAATCGCAACTCCCATGTTCTGTTCGGCAGCCAGGCCAGATCGGCAATGACCAGTAGTTCTGTAGAATATCAGTTCAGTTTATTTGGGGAAAATGTAGGTGTTACACCTTTGATCTCCATATCTGTTACAAGGGAAGTATATAAGAACAAGTTTGAAACGGAAGCACCAACAGCAACAGAAAGACTGTCGGAACTGCCCAGATGAACGAATTATTCCACGCGTTAGGAAAACTAGCACTACCAAATACGATGCACAGTAGCCAGTCTATGTATGATTGTACGATAGAAAAGGTGGTACGATTTCTGTTATCTGCGGGCGCCAAGGCGAATGTCAGTATCCGCGTGTAACGAGTTCGGGATAATAAGAAAATTGGAATAAACAAACGTTTCTGATCCAGTTTCCGCTTAAAAGCCTAGACGGATGTGGACTTAACGATATCTGCGGTCAGAGCATTCCATGCTTCAACCACTGTTAGTGAAGTGTGGCTAACTGTCAGACGT